ATTAATAGATTTAAATTCACCAATAACAAATAATTTTTAAAAATCAAATGACGCCACTGCTATTATTTATATTATTATTAATTAATGTCTATAGTGTGATATGTAATATTACATATTTATTAAATAATAAAATATGTGTAGGTAGGTAACTAATTTTATTAAAAAATAAAAACATTGTCTTTTATGGTTAATTGTACCTACATTGTAATATTTTAATATTATTATGTACCTATTGTGTTATAATAAAATCGATATCTACCAAGTACCTAACCACTCAGGTCAAACTATATTTTTTGAACTAATGTTGCTTGACTTCAAATAAATAACTAAAACTGAATTTTCGATTTTTCAAAAATTATGTACCTATTTCAAAAACGCAGAACAATATAATGTTGGATCAGCAGTATCACTATTTTCCGTCTTAAAATTTCTTTAAAAAAAAAAAAATATGTCTATAAATAAAATTAAAATTATTATTGTATTGTTATTATTATTACTAATATTATTAAAATTATCTTATACTAAAAAATAACTCGGTTTAAATAATTATTAGCTGAAAATTGATTGGTAATTGATTTAAGACTATGAATTCATATACACGCAATAAAGCATAGTACAGTGGAAATCACTATAACGAACATCGCTTAGAACGAGATACTGCATACAACGAGCAAAAATTTAGATGCCGACACGAGCCTATAATATGATTGTATGTTAAAATATACCTACGTTAACGAGTATGGTTATTACAAGATATCGGCAATAACGAATAAAATACATTGAGTTATAAAATAAATATTTGGTTACAAAGGACTAATCGTTATCTTTTTCTTATTGTGCACCAATTATTATCCCATTATTTAAGTTGATCGGCCTGCTCGCTATACTGCATTTCTATAATAAGTATTTAATCTTTATCGTGTAGATATTGATTTACAATCCAAATGATACAAGGTATGATGTTTTTAAATTTATAAAATATACAGTAGTGTCAGTTGTTTAAAAATGTACATCATGTCATGTCATCAGTTTATGTTATATGAAAAAATAACGATAATCGGGCGATTAGAAAATGGTGAGAAAAATAACGTGATCGCAAAAGAATTCGGTACCTCTTTGTCAACGATATCAACAACGTGGAAAAGTCGGGATACGTTGAAAAATATGTTTCAATTTCAAACCATGCCACTTCAGGCAAAACGACTACGTACTGTACAGCATAAAGATCTTGAAGAAGCTATGCTAACATGATTCAAACAACAACGGGTATTGAACTTGCCTATAACTGGTCCTATTTCCAATTTTGCAAACAAAAACTGACCAACTGGCTGAAAAAATTTGAAGATAGAAAATTTCAAATGTTCTGCATCTTGGATTCAGCGCTTCTAACAATGACACAATATTGGATTTGGCAACAAATGCTCGTTCTAACCGTGTTCGTATATAACAAGTAACCGGTTACAACGAGAAAAATTAGTTGTCCCTTGAAACTCATTATAGCCGATTTCTACTGTGCATACAAAAAGACATATTATAGATTAAATCTTGAAGATTAAAAGAGTTTTTTGGCTAAAACGTATAATTAAATATTATATATCATTGGATACAGTGATACTATTAATGAGTGGTGTATGTATAGGTTCTTTGTCTTATAATAATAGTAAGAGTCTCTGACAGGTGAAATAGGTAGGTATATTTCTTAATTTCATCCATACGCCATCATACCAAATTATTGTATAAAACAATTTAATACTATTATTATTTTTTAAAAACATATATATTTTTTAAATGTATTACCAACTCTAAATTATTGTATTTTATTTGTTTTTAAGGGTTTTCTTAATATAATATACGAGTATGTTTATGTACTTTTTATTTTTGTGAAAATTAAGAGGATTATTGTTAAAAGTTAGAAATTATTTTTACTTAATATCAATAATCTATTTATTGTAACAATAAATTATTAATAACCTATATTTATATTAATTTAATTATCCAAGTATTATTTTTGATCGTAAAATTACAGAAAAATAAATATGAAGTACCTATATAATAAATGTAGGTAGATATTTTTTACCACAGAACTATGATTTTTGATAGATACAAAAAAAATTCTTTCTTTGTAGTTTTAGTCTTTTCAAATTACAAACTTTAAATGATAAATATTAGAAAATATAAGTATAAATTAATTAATTTATGATTACGGTCTAAACATGAAAAATGTTAAAAATTATATGATTTTATCTTATAATATATGTTATCTTTCTTTTTTGAAATTATTTATCACTACATATGTTAACTATTCCATGAAAGAGAAATCACTATTTTACACTTTATGAAATTAAAAAAAAACCATTAAGGGCATTAAGTATGTATTATTTATTAGATATGTACATTGAAATTTTTAGAAATTGCAGTTTTAAATTTTTTGCTATTAATTTATGAAATTGAGACCATATTTTTCACTCGAATATTACTTAAAATGATTTTTGAATACTTCAATTGGTTTTTGATAGAAAATATAAATGAGTTTTAAACTTTTAAATTATCAGGACCACATTCGAAGTAATTAATTTTTCGTTTTGTCTGATTGAAAATTAACGTTTCAGTAAAATAATTTATGAATTTCCATTAATTTGCTTTATGTTTCCAGTACCAAAAATATTACCTAGTATTGAATAAGATAATCTTATAATTATTCACAGAAAACATAGACATAGTCAAAACAGCATTGAACACCTGGACTCTTATAAAGCTTGAAGGTTGTATGAAAGGTGGCCTAAAGTGATCAAAAAGTGGGCTATCGGTTAAAAATTTTAACAATTTCAAAAAAATCTAGATTAAATAAAGAAACTATTAAATTAATAAAAATACTTGAAGAAATATAAAAATAGCATATGAATATGGAAAAATTAAGTACAACTATTAAAATTTCTATCATAGAAATGAATTCTGAAAAAGCCTTATGTACAGCTATTTAAATCATTTAATAAACACGCTTACATCACGAAAAGTATGATTTCACTAATGTAACTTGTATATATAATGATTTTTTCTGGAAGCTAAGCTTGTTATGGAGACAAGAGTCCTTAAAAATAATTACTTGAACATAATATATAAAATTATTAAAATTATTATATTTTATTTGGTGATTAGGTATAGACTTAGTTAAGATGCAAGCTTACTGTTTTTTATTGCTTACATTTTCTAACAAAAGCATTTCTATTCATAGAAGGTTTCACGAATATAGTGATAGTGAACGTCGAAGTGCTTAGTTCATTTGTGGAACTCAGGATTCTCTACTAGTTTAATAGTACTTTAATTGTTAGTGTTTGCTATCTTACTTATACAAGTTTATATGCGATGTTTAGTTTAATTTCAACTAGATTAGAGCCCAATACAGTTAGTACCTACCTAGTGGTATCTTATGATTAGATATAAAAAGGTAATTACTTTAAGTACTTATAATTTATTTTTACTTGTTAATTACAATTTTCTGAAAAATCATGTATTAAATTATTTACAATGGCCCTAATATTGTATTTTTCTAATATTTGGTATACATATTAAATGGTCGACAGAACCAAAAGTTTTTTTACATCTAGAAAAATTTCTATTACTGCTTTTCTTTCTTTTACTTTATGATACATATATGTATAAATACACGTGTGTGACTAATTACTGTCATTAAACAGCATTATAAATGCCTTTATTTTTCTTAAAAAAAAATTTATTCTTTGAAAATTTTGAACTTGTTTCTAAAAAGTTATGTGATGATAATCTTTTATCACTTTTTTTAAATTTAAATAAATATAATCAGTATTAATTTAATCTTTATTATGTATTCACTTTTCAACAATAATTGTTTTTATTTTTTTAATATAACCATCATCTATATGGCTATATCACACAAACAGTCGTGACATTTTTTTTGTTTATATGTATATTGTTAAAAAAGTTTTTTCATTAATGACAAGTATGCTAGAAATATTTTTTATTTAATTATTTATTTACATTATTTTTAGAGTACATTTTTTAATGTCAACTATTGAGTCATAGATTTTAATTTAAAACTATTTAAAATTTAGTAAAATATATCTTACGATTTATTTTGAATGTTGGATAATAAATTTAAATTTAATAAGCAATACATCAATTTACTTTGCTGTTCAATAAATATTTAAAACTAACATAAAATTAAAAGTATTTATTAAATTTAAATTTTAAAACTTTGCTAAAAAAAAAAATGTATTATTTATTTTATAATTATTTATTATTTATTTTTCATTTTATTTAAAATGTATTATTATTATACAGATATTCCTTTTTTTTTTTTTTACTAAGAATGTGCTCGAATTATAAAATTATTAACTGTTTATATATTTTTAATTTCATGATTATCTATAAAAATAATTTAACCTCGTTAAATAATATAAATTAGTAAAATTCTTGAGAATGAATTGGTCTTATTGTTAATGTTTTATAATTATTTTACACCTTAAAATTATATTATGTCTTACACACTTATATTTATTCTGATGTTGTATTAAAAACCAATACAAAATTAAGTAACAATCTACTATTTTAAATTATACATTAATCTTTAATGATTATTTGTAATAAAAACGAGTCAATAAATTAAAATTAATTTAATTTAAAAAAGTTTAAACATTAGTATTAATATATTATTTTTAAATATTATAGTAATATGTAAAAATAATAAAAATACAATTTCTTTTAAAGATTTATTTTAATTCTTGTATTATATTTCTAAAAATAATTATTTGATTTATTTTGACAGCCCCGTATAAATCATAAATAGGCAACTAAATATGTTATGTTATGAATATCACCAATTAATATTATCAGAGTGATAATATTTAAAATATGTATAAATATGATAAAGAATTATCATTAGACGTTTTCACGTTTCATTTTTGCAAAAAATAATTTTCAGATTTCAGTTTTTTTAGTTTTTAAAACAATTTATTTTCAATAAAATGGAAGATTTAAATATGGTACCTAAAGACCAATGTCAAGAGATAAATGAATCGAAGTAATTATAAACATTTTATTGTTAAATATTATGCGTATTTTTTCTATTACTCGAAAACATATATCTTACTATTTTTTAAATTAGTTTAGAAACGAAGCCCGGATTATTAATAATCAATTCCTATTTAAATCAAATCAATCCAGATTTAAAAGATGTTCAAACTGAAATTCAAGAAGTCGTGTAAGTACCTAGTTAACATATTCAATGACAATTTGATTGTGTCATTAAATTGTAATTTCAGTATTTATTAAATCATTTAGATACCATAGTTAAATATTTTTGAATATTAATCTAAATTATATTTTACTGACTGATAAATTGATTTTTTTTTATATACTTTGTACAATTTTTAGATTAATATCTATTAATTGATACTAACTTAAGTGATAAAATCTACTCTATACCAACCAATTATTTTATTTAAACGCTGTTTAGAACAGATTTTCATATTATAGTTACTTTAGATGTTTCATAAATGTTTATTTTTTATTTAAAGAGTAAGTTAGTTTTTTTTGTATAATATCTACCTAACTATTATTTTATTTTTTATTTTTAGTTGAATATGTATATGTATTGAATAAAAATATTATATTTTGCTGCAATATGATTCTCCCAATTAATATTTTCACATGAAAAAAAAATATAACATGATTTTGTCTCTTTTATCTTTATACATGCAAAAAAATGCAACTTGATTCCTCTCCGTGAAATACAGGTGTTGTCCTTTTAACAATTTTCTTCAAAATTTTATAGATTTAGAACAAAACAAAATTTAACTGTTAGCTTTGTTAGAAAATGTTTCATATTATGATATCAGTAGTTTATTTCTCTACTTAAAAATATAAATTTATAAAATAACTACATATACATGCCATACTTTATATTAAATATCCAGTTTACATATGAATGTTGGAATTTTTTTTTATCTATTTTATACATACTTGGAAAATAAATATACTTACTATGTCGGAAATTAATATTTTTAAATAAATAGTGTATTAGAAAATTGTTTAAAGAACAACACCAATATTTCATGGAGCACAAGTAAAATATGCAAGTAAATAGGTAATCAGATGCAATTGTGTTAAAGCTATTTGATATGTATGATATTAATTGTTTATCAAAATTTTATCAAATATATTCTAATACACTATTACAGTTGGTCTAGTTTCGGTAAAATATTATAATAGGAGTCCATCAACATATTTGTGTTTTGCTGTTTTTGGAGATAAATAATTTTTTTGCTTAATCAAACTATACAAAATGAAACTAATTAATAGAATTATAATTCATACATCTTTTATTGTCTTATGATAAAAAATAAAATATAATATAGATAATAGATATTGAACCAATAAAAATAGATAATTGTTTTTGTATAGATTAGAAAATTACTAAATCACATAATAGTTACATTAATTTTTAACATTGTAATAGATTAAATTAATTTTTTTAAATTATTAAAAAATTATTTGAAAACATTCTATAACTTGTTTTTTCTATGCTATACATTACATAATGTGTTGATAGCTATTTTATATTTAAACTTGGTGTACCCACACAACGTCATCCGTGAAAAGAATTGCAAGTCAGATATCCTTTAAATTTTCATTTTTGTTGTTAAATATAATGAATGTTAATAAATAATAAGTAAAAATGAAAAAATGGGCACTTGAAACTATGGTTTGAATTCTAAACTCTCTCTACTAAATTATAATAAAGTACCACTGCACCAGAGGATTTTTCAGTATGAAGCATTAAATGGCTATTTAAATTTAAGCACAAATCTGATTGCATCATAAAAATATTATTAATTAAGTTATACGAATAAATTATACACATAAATTTTCCTCGGTTAATTGTAAATCTAACAGTGAAAACCGTATTAAAATCCATTCAGCCGTTTTGGAGTTTATCTCAAACAAAAAAAGTGACTTCATTTTATACTATGTATTGATGATTAATTTATTAAAATGTTATTTATGTTTTAGTGGCAAACAAAAATCGTTAATAGATGCTATGCTCAAAGAAAATGAAGAACTTTCTAATTTATTAAATGAATCTGAAGTTCAAAATATGGTAAAATAATATTATTATGATTTTAATATTTCAGTTAATAACATAATTCATTTTTAGTTCTTATCTATTAAACATTGTCACGGGCAACTGGTTGAATTAAAAAAAAAACTGATGTTTTTACACAAGAAAACTATGACCTTAGAAGTAAGTTTTATTATTATTTAATAATATTCATATACAGTATCTATGAAACTATTTATCTGTTCTAATACTACAAAACATTTTAAAATGTCAGTGATTTCTTTTACATCCTATATTTGAAAAAGACAGAATGTGTACCAATAATCTATACAATGACATTTTTTATGCTAGTATGCTTTGGTATTGTATAAAATATATTTTACAACAAAATTATAAACAGCATTATTTTTTTCTAAAAATGTATTGACCCAGAACATTATTAATTGATAAATTGTAATGCAGATAACCTAAATAAAACGCTTCATTTATATGTGGTATGTTGAAATTATAAAAATTATTAAATTTTAATAGGTAAAAATAATAACATAATAATAAACATATATTTTATTTTATTATAAAGTTAATTAAACATTAATGATAAAATACATATAAGTATATTTCATTAACTGGATATTTTCATGAAGTTTAAAATATATATGTATTTTTATTTATAATTAATAATAAAGATAAATTAAGAAAACTTTTTTTAGATATTTTTTATTATTTATCTTTAAAATTATTAAGAAATAATATTTTTATATTTATATGTGTGTATAAATAGTTAGTTAAAAATTAAAATCTAATGTACATATTTTATATTATTATTTATATAATAAAACAAAAAAATTATTCTTAATATAATAATTTAACTATATCATTTATTTTTATGTAGTAATATACTTTTATTATAATTTAGAAAAGAGCTAATGTTTTACGTGTGGCCAAACAAAGAGAAGCATTACAAAGAGAACATCAAAAAGAATCAATGCTGGTACGGGAACAAGAACTTATATCAAAACAGACATAGAATTATCCATTTTAAAAGTATAGAAAAATTCATTGTGAATTAAGTATTCATTATTTACATAATATTTATTAAATATCTGTATTTTTATTTTTAAGTTGCAAAAAAATATATACATACAGTTGTTAAATGTTTAAAAATTTAAATAATAATATTACATTATATTTACTAAATGTATTGTTTATATTTAAAAAGCATCATATGTATTGTAATCTAATTAATTATTTTTAAATGCATAATATACAGAATGCAACCAAAAAATATTCAATTGTAATTTACCAACTATGTTTAAATTTTTGTTCTTCATTATTTATCATTATTTATCTAATGGCCAGCTTGGACCCTCTTTTATTCTAATTTAATTTTTAAAATATATTGATGTAGTATAGTTATTAATAACCATAAAAATGATATAATTTTTTTTTTTATCTTTTGATATTAACTTAATTAGTTAATTCTCTATGTAAATGCTGTAAACTTTGTATATTTTATTATTTACATTTTTAAACAGAATATCTAAATTTTATGTTGTTGACATTTGACTTATGTTATTTCTTATATTACTGTACACTATTTTATATTTAAATAAATTATCTTACATATATTTTTAATAAATTATAAGTAAGTTGTTTTTCTTACCAAATATCTTATTGATAATGATTAATTTAATTTTGTTTCACACATAAGTAAGTGAATTTAATTTATTTTAAATAAATTTATATTTTTTATTTTATTAATAATAAACAAATCATAAATTTATTCAAATGGTGTATTCACAGCATATTAATTATATTAAAATACTGATTGTTTTAAAAGAAAATCCAGCACTAGATCATGCAATAGCTTTTAAAATAATACACATACAATATGTAAATAATTTAAAAATATTTAATAAAATTTAATTAGTCTTTACTGATTATAAAATTATAAAAAGAAATAATATATTATTAATTATCAAAAAATTGTTTTACTTAAATTATTCACAAATTATTATACAAGATATTTTTTTTGAAGTATTCTAATTATACCGTATAATGTAAATTATAAATATTTGGTATATTTGTATATATATATATATTTAATTATTATTTAAATTTTTTGCTTACCTAGAAAACCACAATTTTAAAAATATTAAATTTTAGTTATTTGTATCATTATTTTTGCATGTATTGACTATTAAATCAAATAGAAAATTATGTATTCAGGATTTTTTGATTATTCTCACTTCTGTTAGGAATACAAAGAAAAAGTTGTGTAAAATAAGCAGTTGACATTTGCCAATTATGTTCAATAAATTCTTGTAAATAAACTAGCTATATTGGTAAACAAAAATAAGAAAATCAGTTGACTGTAACTTTATAAGCTATATATTTTGTTGTACAAAAATATTACTGTTTGTATATTATTTTCTAAATTTTGAAAAATACTTTAATGAAATTTTTGAAACCGTTTCTACATTAAGGCCCTACTTTTATTGGCTAGAAAAAGGAGTTAAAATATTACGTTAACAAAAAAATATCCAGCTTCAACTTGTGATCCTATAATTTCTTTTGAAGCATCAATGAAAATAAAAAATTCTCATAATTTTATAATTTATAATGTTCCAGTGAATGACATGTCAATTGATGATACTAAGAAAGATAAAGTATAAGCATAATTTTTTTTTTTAATTATTTGATCCCTAATAATAACACTAGCTTAAAAGAAATCAATTTTTCCATTACCTCAAATAAATCTCGATCATTTGACCATCTTAATAGAACTTAAGAATAATGTCATGATTTAATCAGTTTTGAAAAACATCTAACTTGCCCAATCCTATAAATCCTTATAGATAATTATACATTTTTTAATTAAGCAATTATGAAGATTTTATATGTTATACTTGGTTCTTTAAGTTATAATAGCAATAGCTATTACATAAATGTAAATTGCTATTAGATAATTATTTGATATGGGTAAGACCTTATAACCTACATTTTTCTTTTATAGTCATAATAGAATTTGTAGGTCATGATTGTGTGAAAAAGACATAAAAGTAATTTTGCTTAATTTATTAATTCTTGCCGATAAATGAATTAAGCACTCTACATATTCCTTAGAGAAAAAAATCATAGATAAACCATAAACTGTAATTACAACTTACAAATAATACCTCATTATATCCAAAGTCAAAACATAAAATTCAATTTGAATAAAAAAATACTAAAAATATCTTATATTTTACTTTTAAGTATTTGTTAAAGGTAAAAATGGAAATTAAGTCTCCTTATATCCCTCAGAATTTAAATCCTACTTCTAATTTAATTATTAAGTATTTTATGTAAACAAAATGAGTTTATATTTATCATGGAAATGTTATGAAAGAACATAATAACTTGTTTATTATTTGAAGTTAACAAATAAATTCATGATATATTACAGTTGTATTTTTTTAATAAATTAGCAGGGTTTAAAATGTAAAAATTAAAAACAATACTTAAGGGGATAATTTTTTTATAGATACCTACAAGCTTTTATCAAAAAAAAATAAAATAAATGTCATGAGAATTTTATTTTTAAAATGATATGTATTATTTTTCAGATAAAAAATAGAATAGGTATACTTTTCCAGGCATTGGGTATTTGGAACTTTGAAGACAATGAAATCAATTTGTTTTAAAAGTACAATAAATACAAAAAACGAGTAATTTGAACAAGAAATCTTAAACATATTTTTGGATCTTATGATTTTGGTAGTAGATTGAAGAATTCAGTAATAACAGCAACCGAAAACAAGGTTTGCGTTAGTCAGTTTAAAAATTAAATGAAACATTGAGATGGAATAGATAAATTATATAAAATACTAAACAGTATTAGCAATATTAACTAAAATTAAATAGAAAAATTAATCGCTCTTATCATTTTTTATCAGTGAATTAATATCAGTTATAAATATTCACTTTTTAATAAGTGATTTGTGATTATTTTAAAGTCAGCTAGTATTTGTTATTCGATTTAAATTTGAATTTATTATTATTATTATTATTGTTATTATCTGTAAGAACGACAAGAAATCGGAACAAAAAATCGCTGATAGTGGATTAACGTGTTTGATTAGCCGCCGCTGACTTCCAGCCACGCACCCTGGCCGATCGTCATTCGTCATTACTTACTACTCAGCACTCAGTAGTCAGTACTCATTCGTTCGATAGTCGTTGCCGTGTCGTCGTCTCGCCGGTGATAATATTATAGTACGCGCGTTTCTCGTACGCGCACAGGCGTTATCATTATAAACTTAAAGAATAATTTGAAAAAATTAAATCGATATCGTACAAACTACAACGATAAATTGTAATAATAATAATAATAATAATAGTAATAGTAATAATAATAACAATAATGTTGCTACCGAAAACGTTTGATTCGAAAATCGATGGAATTCATGTGATCGTCGCACGTTCGAGACGGTGAACTCTGCTCAAAGCTGACGTCGTTGCATGAATTATGAAGTCCAGTTGACGGACTTCGGCGTCCAAATTACCCTTTTCATCTGTAACCTTACACAATTACCCCTGAGGAACGATAAATAAAAGGTAAATAATTATGTCAAATTGATGATGTTAGTTTTAATTTTTTTTTTTTTTTTATATTGTATAATTGTATTTGTGCCGTCTATGGTTGAAGTCCTTTTTACCAACGGTTGTGTAATTGTTAGTTTTGTCTTGATTATCAATTGTAATAATATTGGGTGTGTACAGTTGGTTAACTATTAGGCATTATCGCATTGGTCAGATCTATAGTATATTAATATGTATTACTAGGAGAAGTATTTTCTGGATTTTTTATGTGTTGTTATGTATTTGGATTCTCTATTTAGCATTAAATTTAAAAAAAGTATAATTCAGTGTTTTAGCAATTAACTTATTTACTGTACTGTCATATCGACGTCAATATTTCAATTTAAAAGTAAAATTTATTACAGATATATTTCTATTATCATAGCTATATCATTTTTTGGATATACTTTAAATAGGTGTAACAACCTTTAGAATTATAAACAAACAGTATATTAAATATTTTCTATTCTAATTGTACCTACTTTTAATACGGTTGGCATAATGTTGAATATGCTTTGTTATATGTGTTCTACACATTGTAATGTAAAATTTTTCCATTTACATAACCATATAATATACATTGGTATAAAAATGGATATCAAATAGATATGTAACTGGGTATATGTAGATATGTTGGATGAAGAAAGTTTAATGCATAAAATAGTTACTATAGGTAGTATACATTTTATTTTCATCAAGTTTGGTATAGGTCTACTAATTCATTGATAACTGAGAAAATGGATTATCAAATCCAATACTTTTTGTTCTTTCTATTTTACTAAATCATTTGTTGGCAGGACTTCATATTACTATATTACTTCAGTGTTTATTGTTGAAATATTAAAATTGTTTTGTAATTATATTTTACTAATGTATGCAGTTTATAATCAAGTATATTAGATATAGAATAAAATTATATTTAATACTTTTGAAAATGATTTAATATTTTAGTAAATTGTTAACCTTCTGTTTGAATTATTTTCATGTAAATTATAATAAATAAATAAAGAAAAGTTAGATAATTATGTTATTTTTTTCTACTTAATTTTCTACTTGTTTTTTTCTTCAGCTTTTACTAAGACATGGAGCCAGTTCGTAAGATAGTACATCCCAAAACATCAGGTCCAGTGGATTTGACACTAATATTAAATTCTGCTGTGAATATGAAGGTTAAATTGCAGCTTATACAAAAGATTTCCGAAAGTCTTGAAGTAACTTAAATTATTTTTCAAAAAATAATTTAGTTTTTCAGTAATAATGTTAATAATTATTTTTTAAATTTGATTTTCAGGAATGTTGTCGATCACAAATTTACTTTGATAATATGGTTGTTATTTTACTTAAATTGTTATGCACAACTGAACCAGTTTTTAGCCCAGACAATGATTTATTTGTAAGTATTATTAAAGGTGGATAATTATAAATATTATTAAAACATTTTTTTTTTTTTTTAATTGATTTTATTTATAATTAAGTTCATAATTACTGTCAATAATACAATTAAATATTTAGAGTAATTTATGATAGGCATGAAGTATAACTATCCTATCATATGAAATGATTTATTAATATAAATATTTAACTGTTTATGACTAATATTTCTATTGTATCTTTTACAGAAAATAAGAAAAATTATACTTCAAATAATTAATAAAGTCATTAATAATCATGAAAAAGCAAAAATTCATCTTCAAAACATCATGAGAACATGCATAAAAGTTATTGAAACCGATAATGAGCAGTGCGCCCTTTGTAGTGTTTTAATTATTAAGGAGTTAATTAATCTTTTTAAGCCAAAATATGATAGTGCTTGTTTAAAAGCAGAGGTATATCCATGATAATATTATTGTTTTATATTTTATAATTTATTTCAGATAATATGTTTTATTTTTATATTAAGTAAATTTTCTAGTATAACATTACTGATTTTTCATTATTGGTCTCAGTGATATTTATTTCTGTATAGTTAATAATTAAAATATAAATATGTATTTAAAAGTATTTTAAATCTGCAATAGTATGTAATATTGTAAAAGATAATTATAGATCCATATGAATAATTTTATAAATATTTATTTTTTCAGATTTATAAACTATTAATGCTTATTAAGGATATATATAACAATTCTAGTACTCTAGAAAAAATTTTTAACTTTCAAAAAACTTCTGATTTAAAAGAATTAATTACTACTATACGCTTAACTACAACTGTCACAAGAAATTCTGTTAATGTAAGTATTAATATATTTTTATAGATTTGTGTTAAAATATGTTTTATATTTTAGATTCACTTATGCATAATACATATATTATTATATTATTTTGAGTAATTTAATTAAAATTATATTCCCTACATTCACAAATTAATTTTTATATTTCAAATTTATAATTCATAATATGACTTATTTTCAATTTTTTATCAAAACTAAGTATTTTTTAGAACTTTTTTTACTTAGTTATTAAAATCTAATTTTAGGTTAATTTTAATAAAAATTATTTTGTTTTTAAATAATCATCTACAATTTTTATTTTGTTTGTTTTTAGTATATATTTGTTCCAATGGGAAAAGTATCACTTAAAGTTTTAAAGGAACTTGCGTTGTTATTGAAAACATATTATGTGTTTTATAGTGAAAATCCAGCTTTCAAGAATGATATTTTAGAATTGATTCCAGTACTCATGAGCTTTTTTAATATAGAGATCAATTATAAGTAAATAACATTAACAATTTTGAATATTTATTAATATGATAAATATTAATTTATAATATACTTACATGAATTATATTTATTCTATGTTTTTAATTCTACTTTAGACCAGACCTCAGAGATTTAATATTGGATTTAAAACATGCCCAAGTGAGGTTATTGTTTTTTTTTTCATCATTTTTGAAATGTACTAAAGATGGAGTTCGTTTACATTGTCCTACATTGCCCAGTAGAATTATAAGTCTAATGAATTGTAACATAGCATCAAATATTAGTAGTATTCGTTCAGAATTGCTTTCAGCATTTGAATCTTTTGTACTCATTGATTATAAACATGGTAAATTAAATTTATTTTAGTAAAAAAAAAATAAATAAATTCCCCTCAATTGTCATAATTTTATTTTTATAGAATTTTTACCGTTCATGGATAGATTTTTAGATGAGACATTAATCACTGGAAGATCTTGGACATCAAAATATGCATTAAGACCTAAAGCTTATGTATATATTGATCATCTTATCACACATTTACACAGTCAATTATCAATGAATTATTTAGTTCGTGTTATTCATTTACATTTTACTAATTTATTAGATTCCACTCTCCAACCTGAGTAAGTCACTACAGTATAAAATATCAAAACAATTTTAAAATACAATATTTAATAATAGACAATGTAGACAATAATGTGATATAAGTTTCATTTTATTTAGATGTGTGTATCATTAATATAGAATATTTCTTTTTAGATATCAAATAAATTTGTGTAACATGGTCATGAATGTATTAAGTTGCATTGTTCAAAGACAAAATAATACAATTACTAACTTGAATTTAATTGAAGATGATAAGAGTTCTGTAGTAGATTTATTTTATCGAGTACTTCAAATTTTTATAATAAAGTTGAAGCAGTTCCAAAAGTTTTATTTACCACAATTAAATGAGTAATATTTTTAATCAGTATCTATATATTAAGTTATTTATAGTAGTTTATCTTATTAAAGTATTTGTTAATATTTTAGGTCTAGCTTTTCAAAAGAAAATGATAATGAAAGCATTTCATCTATTTTAGCAGGTATGATAAGAATGAAATTTGAATTATGTATGGTCTAAGTGAAATATGTAATATAATACTTAGTGTGTATTAAATTTTTAACATTATACTATGTATTAACAATTTACTTTCAAACAATATTTATTTTTATTGTTTAATGTATCATCAATATTTTTCCTCGAATATAGCAAGTTACTTTATTAGCCTTATTCATTATATCATATATTTTATTATTACTATAATCCATTACAACATTTTTTATTATTAATATCCATATTTTGTCTAATAGTTTTTTACATATTCATTAATGGCAAAAATATATTTTGTGTTTTTTTTTTTTTTTACATTTATTAATACACTTAATAAAACCATTGCGGTGTTCAACAATTTTACTTAATGATAACATTTTATTAGATTTCTGTCAAGTCAATAATAAGCTTTATAGCTTTTGAACAAATTTTACTCTCTATAATTAGTCTATTAAGAAAAAAAATAAAATCTTTTCATGTAACAATAACATACTCTTGCCTATTAAAAAGAATAAATTATTTATAGGTGTTTAAATATTTTAACATAATTATCTTATTAGGTTTGAGTAAATGAAATAGAAATAGAATTTTTCATAATTTTTATGTGTTATTTAACTTACATAATTTACTTTTTTTTTTAGGAAAACTAACAAAAGAAAAAGAAGATTTTAAATATGGTTATCATCCATCACAAATAGCTCCTTATTCTTTAGCCGATTCAAAACGGTTTATTAAAATAATTATTCCAGCAATTAGAACAGTGTTCCAATTTATTGTAATTATATTTTGGTGCATGATTAAAAAAAAAATAATTATAAATAATAATAAATGATTTTAGGTTAAAATTGAAGGAGAAAAATTTTTAATTCACCCTCAATATAAAAAAACATTTAATCATTTTGTAAATCATTCATTGTTGTCATTAAAAATTTGTGATGATTCATTGCCAAAAAAAGAAATGGTGAAAGAAATCCTTCTTGCTGTAAGTAAATGTATTTTAAATAATATTTTGTTGAGTATTGATGTTTTAATAAGACATTCTAATTACATATTATATTATCTGCGTCTGACAAATATACTACATTGTCTGTTTATTTTATGGACATTTTACCTTGACCTTTTTGTTTATCTAGTTTTATTATAATTATAAAATACATTTATTCATACAATTTTTAAACTTAATTGCTAAATTGATTGACTACATTACTATTTATTATTAATGCTTTTATGATAAGTTAATTTTTTTTTTTTCATTTTAAATTCTTTAATATTTTATTTTAATTACATGTTTTTATTTCATTATGCATAATGTATTTAATATTTAATAATTTTTTCAGCTTTCATGTATCAGTCCAATTCATCTTAAGACTTTGATTAATGGAGACCATTTAGTTAAACAGATTTATGCTAATAATCTAGAAACATTATTTTTTGAAATGGCACTGAACGATGAAATTTTAGTTTCAACTTTTAGCAATTTAATATTTGAGTATATATTAAACAATCTAATTAATGAAAATGAAAAATCGCATATATTTGATTTGGTTGATAAGATTCAATTAAATGTCAAACTAAACTATAATGATGATAAACGTGATGGATATGTTTACAAAATTATCGAAGCGTAATTAATTTTAAATTCATAATTAATTAGTTATCATAAATAAATAATTTCAAATTTCAGTATGGTAATTTGAGAGTAATTATTTCAATGTTTTTTACAGATTGATGAATAATTTGAGAAACACAAAATATCCTGTATTTTTTATTGGAATATTAAAAACAATGTTAATTATTGTTGAAACAGCAAGTTATGATTTTGGAGAAAATACGTATTCATTAATTAGATGTCTGCTTTGCGGTATTATAAACTTATTTTTATACTTTTAGATTTTCAAAAACTATTAATTATGTGAGAGTGAGAGTTTTTCTTGTAAGATATGGTTTTAAGTAAAAAATTTGTCACCTGCAAACATGTTAATTACGCTTTAATATTTGCTACATAATTATTAAACAGAGTATAAACATACAAGAATATCTATTAAATATTTTAGAATGATTATCATGAATTGAAATAAGACTTTTGGAAAATAATAGAAATTATCTAAATACTTATTTTAAGAAAACTAATAATCTTATGTCTTCAGTACACACATGAGTAATACAACTTAACTTTATGTCAATGCCAATTTTTCTTTAAAATTTCAAGTAGATAATTTTAAATACATTTTCTACAAAATGGTTTTTCAATCACATACTTTAGTAAAACATAGTTAATAAGAAAAAATAAATAATTGATTTTTTTTATTTAATTATATTTTAAACATATTCTTTTTATACTTGAAATATCTTAGATATTTTTAAATAACTATTTGAGCACCGATTGTTTATTTAATAACAAAATCTAAATAAACATTTTGTTTTTTTAAATATTGATTTTATAGAGATATATTGGTATTTGTATTTAAATACGTCAGTTACAATGTGTATGTGTTTACCCAAAGGGTTAAAACCCTTTTATTTTCAGAAAATACATTTAATTTTAAAAATAAAAAAATAATAATTTGAGATTACAATTGTCTTTATTATTTAATTATTGTTATAAAATTATGTTAGACATACTTGTTTGATGGGATATAATCTATGAAGTGTGTGATTATAGTTTTGAAACCAATATTCTCAATAATTGTGTTACATAAAATTATAAATAATCCATATTGAATAGCAACTATTATACTATTTAGTGTCCTTTCATTTCTAAATACATGTTTTCTTGAAACTATATACTATTTGTAATTATTAAATTTTTAAAGTTATTTTTAATTTGTACATTTATCCAAATAATTTATTTATATTGTTATACAGATTTACTTTCATATCACAAAAGTTTAACAAATGATGCAGTTGTAACAAAAGTTGCAATTGCAGAATTGTGTTTATCTGAGTGTATGTTTAAAGTGGTTCTTCATTCTCATGTAATGGATCTATTGTCAGTAATTGCTTATTCGTTTCAAATACCTGAATTAACTCCACAAGTATGTATATAACTCACTTTATTTTTTTTTTAATAAATTTAAATGAAATTAATTATACAAATATTATAATAATACGTAATATATATCTTATATTTATAAATTAAATATTTATTAGGACTGTACCTATTGACATTGTCAATCTTAATTTAAAATTCTAGCCAAAATATAGTTGTCCTTTTTGGATAAATATTTTTAAATAAGTAAGTGTTTTAGACAATATTCATTAAAAAGGATATCTTATTCTTCAATATGATTTAGACATGTTATTATGTACTTAATTTAATAACACTTATTTATGCAAGGTGATATTCATTTATAAAAACCAAAGTTTTATATTTCATATTTTAACTATAGATTTGTTTTAATTTTACAATTTTTAGATACTTTTATAATGTTAGCTTTTTACTTTAAAAAATACTTGTGTAAAATGTTGTCTTATAAATATATTATGTATAAAGTTTATGAAAGTGGAGTTTGTACATTTTTCTAATAATTTGTGTCGTGGTGATGAAATTTTCTATTAAAAATTTTGTTGATCCAAGACAAAATATTTAAATTTATTCTTGTTTTTCATTTATCAATAATGACATTTAATTTTTAAAAATAACAAAGATTAAAAAAAACATTTAACTATCTAAAATTAAATGCAATATAAAACTGTTTTAGAGTCAATAAACATAGTACTAAAAATGATTGAAGCATATTATTATAATTATTTTCATTATGTTTTAATAAATAAGTCATTAAAATGTATTTTTTAAATCATTTTTAGGGCCTTGGTATTTTAGAGAAGTGTTTAGATGTCTTGCCAGCTCAATTTTTAGATGACCCCGTTCTTCCAGTTCGAAATGAAATCATGAAAGGATTGTGTGATTGTTTACAAAGTCCTCATGAATCAATTTCACTGCCAGCTGTTAGGTAGATTTAATTTTAAGAGAATATTTGAATAATGCTATTATTATTATTGGCATAATTTTTTTTTTTGTTAAGTTTACTCGGAAAGTTTGGAGGTCTTAATCGAAGTTCAGTTATGAAAACTGACCACCTTGAAACTCAAAAACAATTTCATCAAGTTTCTAGGAAACCTAAAATATGTATAGCATATGATGATTATGATAATACCATATTAGAAATGGATATTGAAACTGTGAGTAAAAAAATATGAATTCAGTTATAATACTAACTTTAGTTTCATCATTTTTCATACATATATAATTATAATGAATAATTCAAGGTTTTATTTTTAAATTAAATCATAAACTTTTAATCAAGTTAAACATTATTGTGATTTAATTTAAAAAAATATTTTGTATAATTAAACTATAGAATCTATAGATTATTTTAAAGTATTTGTATAAATTAAAATTATATTTATATAATATTTGATGATTGCTGTTTATAAAATGAAATATTTGGACTTAATTATTATTTAATTTACTATGTTTTTTTTTATATTTATTACATCTTAATTAATTAATGTTTTTCTAATTCATTAAATTGAATTGTAAATTTTTTAAATATTTTATTTATATTTTATAGGGTGTGAATACTGCTACTCAAACATTAATCTCGGATGATGATAGATTCAATAGATTACAAAGTTGGAATGTTATAAGAGGATATCTTACGATATCAATGGAATATGATTCTAATAGAATTTTACAATTATTGTCAAATATCAAGTAAAAGATTTTACATTTTTTTTTTTTTTTAAATATTAATTCTCAAGTGTAATATCCAACATACATAATATTTATACAAAATAATCCTTATTATTTTAGTCTGTATTATGTTACTTATTTCTAATATTAGTATTTGTACTTTAGTATAAAAATATATCTAATAATTTGTTTATATACAAATAAAAAGTATTTGAATTGTATGCCTACTGATAATTAGGAAAATAGTTATTCAAAATATCTTAAAATATTAGGAAGTTAATGTAGTCTATATTTTAGAAATAAGCTAAATAAATATTTTTTAAAATATTGAATTTAAAAGTAAATTTATTGATGTTATGAATAAAGCTACCCTAGAATAAGATGGAATTTAAAAACATTAATCACCTAAATCTGATATTGTATAATAGTAAATATTGTAAAGTTAAAATATTGATTCATAAATTTATTAATTTTTTTAGTATTTCCAACAAGTAAAGCTACTTCAAAATTTTGAACTTTGATGTATTAAGAATTAATTAAATAATATTAAAACTATACATTTGAAGCATAAGAAAAAATCTGAAACCTACAATTTCTGAACCTCTTTATCATTATTATTATAAAGTAGAAATCATATTTATTGTTGAAGATAACTACTATGTTATATAGTTATATAATGTATGTTGGATTTTATTATTAATAGTATATTTTTAAAAATACATATTTTTTAATCATTGAAATATTAGCTTATATGGAAAATATCTATAAATTTCAGTCTGGAAACATTAATAGAAAAGTTTGCAGATAATGAATTGCGGTATACTAACTCTATTATCGATGAAACATATATTAAAGCATTAACTGGTAATTAAAAATTGTATTTTTTCCTTAAATATCAAACATGATAACATGTTTAGTATAAAATATTTATAATCAATTACCTCTTTGTAGTTTGATGTTTTGGGAAATTAATTTATTAAATTGATTTACAATTTAAATGCTTAGATTGTTAAGGGTATTATTGCAATACCAAATTAAACAATATTTTACATTTATTAAGTTTTTCAATATTTACTATTTAGGTTTAATGATTTGCTGTGATGATGAGTATTTGAAGGCAGATGCTTTAACATTATTTGATGAATTCACCAAAAGAATTATTCATATTTCCATATGTCATTTTAGTGATATTTCATACGGATACTTTTTAGAAGTTAATCCTTACGTTATAATTGATGCTATTTGTGAAGTATTATCAAATGAAAAGGAAAATATTTCGCAGTTTGGCGTAAAAGCTACAGAATTTATTTTAAGAGAATCGCAAAAAATCTTAGGAGATAATGTATATATCAATTATTGTATATGTTTATAAATTCTATTTATTTTAATATTTATTAAATATGTATTACTATTTCAGGTGGTTTATTTTCCTTTTATTACTTACATGTTCCAGCAATTTTGTGAACTTTGTTACGATTTAAGTTGGATTTGTAAACGTGGAGGTTGCTTAGGACTACAGACTTTGTTTACAAATTTATTAAAAGAAGAGACTGAGGCTAATGAATATTCTAATTGGTTTATTAAACATTTTAATAATACATTTAGAGCCACGCTGTTTATATTTTTCGATTATAACAAACATGTATTACTCTTAATAATTTGTATTTTATAAGTGTTGGTAACATAATATTTATAATTTAATTATATTTATTTTAGTTGACATTTGGTACTCTAAAAATTGCTGAAAGTAATTTAGATTACATGTTAAACTGGCTGTATTGGGTTAAACCAAAAAATCCATCACATGATTTAATACAGGATACTATTTTGACGGAGATTACTGATTACATAACTGGACCAAATGATTTGCTTAGAGAACAGGTTAAAATGATTAACCATTAAATTATTTTTACCTTTTAACTTGTTATTATACTAATTTAAATTTATTTATAGTCTATAAAAATTATTAATTTGATGGCAAATAAACAACAAAAAACGATTGTGGATATTTTAGAGCCATACCATAAGCAAATTCAACTAGCAATTCCAGGAAATCGATTATTTGATAGTTACACTTTTAAATCTCAAATTGGTATAATGAAAGGGCATATATTTTGTGCTTTGCATTCTATTTCTCTGGAACAATTTGGTAAGTTATTTACATTGGTTAAATTTTATTATATTATTATTTGTAAAATCCTAAATCTCATTTGTATATATAAATATATTTTTTTTTTTAATTATAGACATTCTAAATAAAGTTAATGTATTTTATTTCAATATGATTAATATTGTATGCAAAGGGGATAGTAAAGAAATGAGTTCAATAAAAATGTTTAAATGTTTATCATCTACCCAGTTGTTTGAATTTCGTCAAGTAGCCATGCAAGTTTTAGTACACTGTTCAAGTTTTATGACAAATTCAGATAATATATTAATATTTGAAATATTTTTGAATGCATTAATGAGTTCTGATATTAAAATGCAAGAAATAGTGTACCAGTGTTTAGAATCTCGCAGTATAAATCTTATCATAGAATTAAAAATGGTAAAATTAATTAAATTCAACATTTTGTAAAATTAATACTTATGTATTTTACCTAAACTAAATTTTGTTTAGGTGGATAAATTATTATTATATTATGATGATTTATTTCAAGACCCAGAAAAGGTTACATTAATAAATATTAATTATATTTTGTATATAACAAAATTATTTCCATCTAGTCCAAATAAGATGTTTTGTACTACTATACTAAATTCATTTAAATATTTATGGAACAATTTAAATTGCGGTATTTATAGTAAGCCAATATCACATTTATTATTCTTTTCATGATTTAATATTTTAAATAAACTTAAACTAAAATTTTACAATTGCTTAATAAATTATTATACATGTCTTTTAATAATATTTTTTTATTTCAGGAACTTCCTTGTATGAACTTGAACTTAGTTTAGAGAAAATTATACAAATAGTTAGTCAAATAAGAGAAGCACAATTTTTTCATGTTAAAGAAATCTGTGAACTTGTTTTAAATCAAAATATTTTAAATGTTGAGTTATGTAATAGATTATATCCACACTTGATTGAATGTCTTCTAAAGTTCCCTGTAGCTTGTATACAATTATTTTTTCTAGATCAAAACATAAAGGTTTGATTTTTTGTAATTATTTGTATTAATTGACTATGAATGTCATACTCTTATAATAATAAATTCTGATGTATTTAAAAAAACTTATTTAGAATTCAACATGGAGTTTATTTTTTATTTCAATGATACGCAATGAAAAATGTGAATCTCTTAGAAATGTGTTGACGTCAGACTCTTCACACCTAGAAACTTTATTGGGAACTTCAAAATCAGGTTAGTTTTTATTCTTATCTTTTAATACTATTTTATTTAATGTATGTTATAACATTTAAAACTTATAACTGTAGTTGAATTTTTTAAAAACAAAATAATTTCAATCAATTTCCTGTTTGGTTAATAAAACAGATTTTCATATACAAGAAATGGTAAATTTTAGAATAAACAGTCTATAATGTAAAGTATAAAAAAAATCTGAAAATCATCAGTCATTTTATAATAAAATGCTTTCTGTGGTTAGATATAACCTGTAAAAATTAATAAAAACTTAATGCAAAAAAAAAACATCCAATTTTGAATACAAGTTAATGAGATGAAATTCAGAAATCATGATTTTGCTAGCAGTAAATGCTAAGTTTTACCAGTATTTATAACTTTACTATAAAGTATTATAATATTATATCTATTATTTTTCAGTTAAGAATCAAATTTAAAAGTATATTATAAATTATTAGTGTGTGGCTAACGTCATTATGTTTATGACTTTAACTTAGAGTAAAATAAATTTACATACATTATATGCTAACATGTTATTAGTTGTCATTAATGTTCATTATGAACTTAACATTATTCTTTTTTTATATATATTTAGATACTCCAAGATATATTCAATATGCATGTGTTAAAATAATATATAATTTGTTAAAAATGACCAAAAAATGGATTTTTAACTCAAACAAAATTATACACTCTCTACTAAATATTTGGTGCAGTATTAAATTCAAAGTAATTTTTACATATTTTTATTTCATATTATTTAATAAAATAATATTTATTTTATATAGTGAAACTTCCATTAATCGAAATATTTATACTAATAAAACATCACATTAGATCAAATTGATTTAATTTTATAATACAGATTATTTTTGTTGCTCATGAGATTTAATAATATGGAAATTTCACTATATTTATATACCTTATTGAAGACATAATTTTTGTCCAGTAGTTCTTAAAGGCATAAGTTTTTTTGAGATTGAGCTAAAGGCTCTATGGAGAAATTAAACTTAAATATTATTAGTTTCATTTTAATAATCATCATGATTGATTATTTACTAATTATTTTTTAAAATTAATATTTTTGCTTTTAGAAATAAAAGTTAAAGTACTAGTATTAATTGTCAGAAGTCTTATCAAATTAATAGATTAGTTAATATGGTTGCCAAAAGATCGGTACTTTTTACCAAACAAAATAACTAATATTCCTGTAGTTCATTTTTGACATGTGTGTGCGTGTATAATTTCTTTTATGCACAATCACACATTCTAATGACCACTTATTATTGCACATATATTTTACCCGATTCAAACTCACATATATAAAAAAAATTGCTTACATTAAACTCTTTAAAACGATTGATAATATACATAATCAAGTTTTAAAATGAAAAAATAAAAATTGAAAGAAATTATAGAAGAAAATTATGGAAAAATCTGAAGTTATTTTCAATAAAAATTTTAGTTTATTTTATTCCTCTGTTTTTCTCTGTGACAAAAAACTTTTCAATCTTATTGAATTTCTCCAGAACTATGTTTCGCCGCCTAATATTCTTAATAAAGACATTGATTTACAATTGTATTTTGAACTAATTATTAATTGTCGTGATTTTTTAAGGAACGTTTTAAAAATATAGCTGCTGTTCAATCAACAGAATGGGATGAACCTAAATTGATACTAAAAATTATAATTGTTTATTATCGAGATCATACTAATGAAGTTTTTATACTTTTTCATTTACTTTTTGTGTTCTCGATGCGATTTCCTATTGATATAAATGTAAGTTTTATTCAATAAATTTTTTATTTATACATAAACTTATTTTTATTTTTTATTTTGTTGAAACAGTTTTTCAGAAAATTTTTAGAAAAAGAAATAATACAATCAAGTACTATACAATGGAAACGAATTGTATTTTTTCAATTTATTGAATTGTATCAAAAAAAAAATGCAAATATTGATATTTTAGGAAAAATACTTCAATATATAATATTACCATGTTTTTCAGTGTCTTATAAAAAAGGGGAAAAACAACAACTATTATGTACATTTACTAAATCTAATGAAAATATAATTGGAGTTGTTTTAAATAAAGTAAGTATTTCCTTTTTTATAAAAGTTAATTAAACAATAATTTTACACTGAATATGTTTATAGGCAAATATTATGTATGCTGATACACATAATTATTTTCATGATTTCTTTTTGTTAATCATTGTAGATTATAATTATACATCGTTAATAAACAAATAATTTTTATACATTTATTCATATTTTCTTTTCATTTAAAATTAAGTTGATTATAAAATCAATGGATAAGTACCTATCTAAATAGATGAACTGCCTAAAGATTGTGATCTCTATGCTATTAGAGGCTTATAATTTAAAAATATTTAAAAAAATAGCTTCTTGAAGATTAATAATCATTAATGAGTTATTAGGTATATTAATTATTAATTATATATTTTTATTTAGAATTAAAAATTATATTTATTCTTAATTTATAATACTTTTTGAAAAATATATTCCTTCATCTTAGATAATACAAATTTTAAATTGTAAAGATTTTTACCCAATTATTCTATTATGGTACAATAAAAAAAAAAATTAATATTAATTGATGTTTAAGAATATTTTTTAAAACGATTCTGTGTATCAGTGTATAATTTATTTAAGCATTATTTTCTGTTAATTTATGTTTTAGATTTTTAATAATATTCGTATTGTATTAAGTGGATCTGATTTTGATGGAATTAAAGTATTCTTATGCCAACTTATTTGTCTGTTAATTGATGACTTACTGTGTTTCAATGACAATGTTTGTGAATTGATATATAATTCCATAATATCTTGCACATGGTTTAGATGTACAATGGACATAAATGTTAAATATCACTGCTATTTGATTTTAACACACATAATGTTATCTGAGAATCCACCAAAAAAAGAAAAACTTAGTCAAAGTTAGTTGATTTGGATATCATAAATATTTCATTATTTAAATATATTATTATTTAAAATATTATTAAATCATTATAAAAATATATTGTTTAAACACTGTGTCTAAGGAAACAGATATATATGTTTATTAAGCTCTACTTAAAGGTGTTCATTATCTTCACAGATATTTATGTGCACATTATAAATATAGATATCTGTGTTTCTAAACATATGTTTAAATACTATTTTTTAATTTAATTATTGTAATGATTCTAGTGATACATTATGAGCTTTTAAAAGCTAGCTCTAGTGAAGCATTGCCAGTAATAAATTATTCATTAGACTTGATAGTTTCTGCTATCTGTGAAAAAAATGGTAATGTACAAGGTTTAGTTGCATGCATTAAGAAGATATTGACCAACGAATCACAAAATGTGCCAATTTTACATCATATTAGTTTATTTTTAATTAAATATAATACAGTAAGTTTTAATAAGATTATTACTATTGTGATTTTTATTAAAACTAAACAATTGGTATTTATGTATTATTTAGTTATTTTACCCATTCAAAGAGTTCTTGCTCCGTAACATTTTAGGAGCTTTATTTCCAATTGCTAAGAATAACAATATACCCGAGTTTAAAAATACAGCAATAGAATTAGCATGCATGATAATTAGCTGGGAACTTTCTGATGACTCTTCAAATACAGTAATATATTTAATATAATATTTTTTCAAAAAATTGTTATAGTTAATTTTTTTTTAACATGTTTAATTAATAGACATTAAAATTGCCTATAAAACGTTCAATTGATGAAGCACAATCTAAAGTAGAGAATAATAACATACTGCCAAAAAAAAAGAAATCATCTGAATTTATTGATAACTGTTTGAACTTTTTGGCAATGGTTGGATGTCAGGTATTGTAGTATGTTCATTATAAATGTTTATTATATTTTGTCTAACACACATTTATTTCACTCCAGACACATGATGATAAACCTGAAAGCTTGATAACAAAATTAGCAATACGTAGTAGAAAGTTATTTAAAAATATAATAAGCACTGAACCAATCAATATTACGGAACTAAAATTAAAATTTGGGTGGTTTGAAAAACTTTTGGAATCGTTTCTGAAAAAAGAACAACTTTTCAAACAAAACCCAAAAATGCTTCATGGCAATTCTTCTGCAAGTTTAATGAACTTGTTAGCAGCATATGATACTGTATCATTCATGCTAAATGTTTTACCTCAAAATATTATGATAGAAGCTTTGAAACCTGTTCAGGATCATCTTATCAAATTGCTACAATTTGCATTTATTGAAGTAATAATATTATTACTTTTAAATACTAAAGAAGTTGCATCTGCATTTACAGTTAAAATTGAATTATTCATTTTATTTTAATAGGGTTCTACTTTAAGCAATCCACATAGTCATAGAGAGATTTTAATAACCAATCGACATCTCTCTATATCACAAGTCAAACAAGTGAGTTATTTGTTTTTAAAGTAATTTTTTTGTTATATCAAAAGCCAATGGAATGTTTTATTTTAAATTTATTTAATTTTATATTTTTTTAATATTTAGTGTAATGAAGGCACATTAAAATTAATAACAGAAATTTTAAAAACTTTCCCATCAAATGAAGGACTAGAAAAGTTGCATTTATATATTCAAACGGTATGAATGAATTTTTCACATGATATGACTTTATTTACATTATAAATGTATTTTTTAGATCATTTCAGAGGGTTTAAGTAGTAATTGTTCAAACAAATTGGAAATTAGTTTGACATTATTAAGAGTTTCATTAATATATTTTCCAAATTATATGAATAACGATTTACTTAATACTATGGGAGATATAATGTTTAAATTTAATGAAAGTTAGTATACTAATTATAAATAGTGTATCATGTAAAAATAACTAATGCATGCTAATTTGATTAATTAAAATATTTTAATAATATATTAATATTTTTTTTTAGATAATAGTAATTCAAAGGTTAAGGTACAATGTTTAGAAATACTAAAAACTCATGTTGATTCATTGCCACGTGTTGGTAAGCAAGTTTTTATTGAAAAAGTAGTTATAGAAAATTTGGATAGAGCTAGAGATTTTGAAAACAATATACCATTTGAAGTGCAAGTAAAATGTTTTGAACTTATCATTAATTACATAAAAGATATATCTGAAGCTGCTGAAGGAGTATTATTAAATTCAACACTTTTAGAATATATAAAAACTACAACTGACGAGCGAATTATGATAATCATTTTAAATGTAATTTAATTAAATTTATTTTTATTCATTAATTTTATTATTTTTTTAAAATTTATTTTATATACAATTTTTTATTGTAAGATCTTATAATTTGAATATGTTTTTTAGGTAATAACTAAATGGATTGAGATTTGTAGAGATGAGACTGTATTTTTCAATTGTCAAGTTCTTAAAATTTTAAAATCCATCACTATTATCAATCGCTTTCCAAAATTAACTGATTATTGTTATAAATTGAATCTTGAAATTTTCAGGTAATTTGTTTTTAATTATTCTTACTTCTTTATTTTTAATTATTAGTGTCGAGCTGCTATGTTTTAATTTTGCTTATCTAAAATAAATTGATTCATTAAATAATATGTTATATAACAAAATAATCATCAAAAATATTGAACAAAACTAATGAGTTTTTAAGTAATTTAAACAAAATAGTTGTGAATGTAATATTATCAGATTTTTAAAAAAATTAATAATTTTGAATAGTTAATTTAAAAATATATTACTTATGAGTTATGAATAATTGAAAAAATACACTAATATACCATATCAAATCTGAGAAATGTATTTTCTAATATACATGGTAAAATGATTTTTTTTTTTTAATGATTAAAAATGTAATAAGTAATTTAATTAATATTGATAATTATAATGTTAAATTAAATATGAATTCACTAAAAATTCAATAAATTTTATATTTATTATATTATAATTATTTCATAATAAATATTTTACATCACAACAGACAATAACAACATTAACATTATTGGCTATTCCAGATTATTGTAATATTTTAAATTAAGATAATTCATAATTTTTTATTAATTGATTAATTTAATTAATTAAATAGTTTTTTTCAAATTAATATTTTGTAGCTAAATTGGTAAGATAAAGAGTTATAATTCATTGTATCTTATTATTTAACTTCAGTTAATTTAATATTTTCTTGTAAGTCAGCCTAAAATTATGAATTTCTGAGTTTAGTTAGTTAATCTTGTCAATTTATCATTGATTAATTTTTCAAGAGATTTTAGAGTTACATGTTTATTGGTAGTACCAATAAAATATATACCAATATATTCATGTAAAATAACTTAAATTTATAATTTTCAGAAATTGGTACTTCTCGGAATGTATAGAATTTGGTATCAATTGTAAATCTCCGTCAATAAGATATGAATTCTTAAAATTTTATGATACATTATGGCGTGATGGTGGATTATGCATGAGATTGTACACATTGATGTCTAATGAATTAAGTTATAATTTAAATGCTTCTATTGCATTTTATGTTCAACTGTTACTGATTAAAATATCCAAAAATACTAAACTCCAAGGCGATTTTCCATTATTAGTAATAAATAATGTGGTAATATCTTATAAAACTGTTATATAGTAAATTAATTCTTTTATTATTTTTATTTTACTTTATGTTTTTTATTTTTAGGATGTCTTTTCAAAACCTAGTAATTCTTCAATATCTTATCCAGTACGAAATATATCTACATTTGATATATGCTTCTCTGTAGCACAGTTATGTTTTGTTGATGAGGACTTAGCTAAAAACTTATGGATATCATTACTTCCCGATGTTTGGAGTTTGTTTAATGATGATCAAAGAAACTTACTATCTGCAAGAGCAATTAATTTTTTAGCAAAAAGTAAACTAAGAAATAACTTTATGGCAGCGTTTTATGAAGCTATTATTCTTTGTAAACCAAATATTAATTTTAAACCGTATGTTATTTACTATGATTGGTTAAATTTACTATAAAAATGTATATGGATGTGATGTAATGTAGATAAATATTTATTTTAGTTATCAAATGACGTATATCGGAAAAACATACAATTTATGGTATTTAGTTATTAAACAAATGGAAGATATATGTAATTACTACAAGCATGATAAAAAGGATGTTAGTGATATAAATTAAATACTCATATTTTGGTTCTATTAAAATTTAATTTAAATGTAATGTATATTATTTTTAAGGAAGCTGTTGAAGGAATGATTCAGATGTATTCTCTATTACGAGAAGAAGATGTTTTAGAAAGTCTTTTTCAAAATACAGTAAAATGTGAAGCCACAAAAAAAGCATTGTCTCTTGAGCAACAAGGATATATTAGAGAAGCTTCACAAATATATATGGAATTATTGGATAAAAAAATGAATGGGACTAAAATTTATCAAAATAACTCTTACAATAAAGATAATATGTTTAGAAAGATTCGTTTAACTAAGTAATTATTGTTTTTGCTACAACTACCACGATGGTTTAAATTAATTCACTAATTCGATTATCAACCACTTGTTACAGATGCTTAAGAGAGTTAAACGAGTGGAGTTATTTAAGTGAAAATGTACTAGAAGATGATACCTTTTTATTAAATATTGAAAATAGATGGAAAAACACGATTGAAAATTCTGATTATGATGATTTAAGATGGTATTTGGAAAATAAACAAAATATTTGGCCATCTAAATTAGTTTGGAAGGTGATTTATAAATTAAAATAATTTATTTATACATAATTAAAAAATTGTATAAAGTTTAATTGATTTAAAACTTCTTAACCGTAAAAATAAATGTTGTTATTCATTTTTTTTAAACGAATTAAAAATTTATTTTCTTTTTCTTTTAGTATCATTTTTATTTGGGAATGTTAGGATTAAAAGAACTAGATCAACAAGTAATGTTTACTGTCCAGGAACACATCGAACTTGCTTCTACTGAAATTATCGATAAATGGAAAGTATTACCAAAGTATTTATGCAATGCTCATATCCCTTTACTTCAAGCCACCCAATTGGTATGTTGGCCAGATTAAATTTAATAGTTAACTAAATAATTGTATCATATTACAATTAAATTATTATATTGTTTTAAATAGATAGTCGAAGTACGTGAAGCGCTTAATATCCAAACTAGTTGGTTTCAATCACCAGAAAATATCAATAATGTTAATGCATTAATTCAGATTTGGCACAATAGAAATCCATGGATTGGAGATAGTTTAAATGTATGGAGTGATTTGATTTCATGGCGACAAACATATTATTCATTTTTGAATCAACATGATTCAAATTTAAAATCACATTTCATAAAATCTGCTCAGGTTTATATTTCTAAATACAACTTAATATCAAATAGTAATCATCTTTGATAACTATTCACAGGATAAATCAAAACTAATTTTTGGAGAGATAGCATTGAAGCACAACATGGCTGATGTATCAATTAATATATTAAATGGTATTGATCTTAATAATATTACAACATCTAATTGGTTGCATAAGATGAACTTGGAGGTAAAATGTAAACAGTCAAAAGTTTTAAAATGCCATAAAGTTAGTATAATATATGTAATAAAATACATTTTTATTTATTCACTATACACATTCATTTTAAATTTTTATCAAATGTATGGTATTATAACATTGTAAATGTTTAATATTATGACTATATTAATTTGTATTATAAAAAGGATGACCGATCATTGGTTATACATTTATAATATATTGTGTATTAAGTACTAATATTTTATTATTATTAGCATTCCTATAACATTTTCGACTTTTTTTTTTAGAAATTCAATGATCTAGCCAATTTACCTTTACACAATGGTTTTATGGATGATATGAAACCTCTATTATTAACAATCGTAGGTGGCTTTCAAGATTATTGTGGTTACACAGATATTGCTTCAAAATATCATGCCATGTTTTTTTCTATTGAAAATACTAAGAAATCTATTGATATTGAATGGCAATGTGTTATAGAAGATAATTTTAAATTAATTCCTTTACGTGTACATAAATGCACCAACCGACTATCACAATTGAACACATTTTTAACAACTTTAAATTGTAACGAAATATTAGAAAATGCTTGGCTTCAATGGGCAATATTAATTGAACACAATTTTAACCAGTCATCTATTAAAGACGTAAATATCGCATTATCTGCTATAAAATGCTATATCATAGCATCTACATTCACTACTAATATTAAATGTAATATTGTAATAGCTAGAGTAAGTATCAATTAGAAAGTAAAAAATTAAAATTATTTTTTATAAGTAAAAATTGTTTTAATTTAGATTTTATGGCTTTTAACATACGATGATAACAAGTATACACTATTACGTGCTTTTGAAAATTGTAATTTTATATTTTCTGATACATGGCTTCCTCAAATGCTAAGTATCTTTGTTGAAAAAAATATCAAAGCCATTGATAAAATTATTTCAAAGGTAATAAAAAATGTTAATTCTTTACTATTAATTATTAAGATATTCAAATCAAAATTTATTAATTAAATTTTAATTAAGTTTTATTATTACTTTAATTTTTTTTAACAAATACCATGTTCCATCGAACGAAATTTAATTTATTTTTATAATGTAATTTAATTTTATAGATAGGACAATGGTATCCACAACAAATGTATTTGATTTTGAACAGAATGTACCTCACTGAAAAAATGAATAAAACAATGGTAATGTAAATTATAAATGGTAGTTGTACAATATACAATTATAATACTTTTAATAATTAAATAAAAACTTGTTATTAATATGATTTTTGTTTAGGAAACTATGTCTACAAATACACTGACATGTACGTACATTATTTTTCATGTCTATATCTTTAATTAATTATTTATCCTTATTTTAATAATATTTTATTATTCATAAAACAGATGATGTTCGAAAGAAAACTTACCAAATGTTAAAAATTGATAAGATCAAACAAATGATGATTCTTCTGCAGAAGTATAATCTTGGTATAACTCAGTTGGATTATTTTGTTGATCAGGTTAGTGTTTAATACAGTTTATTAAGAAAACTTTATTATTTATTTATTTCTGTCTTAATTTAATACTGTTAAATATTATCATTTATAATCAATTTCTAAACTACATGAATTAAACTAACTTGAGCATTTAGTATCTAACTTCAATCAATAAATGTCGGATTATAAAATATCAAAAATGTCACCTATACAATAAATTTATAATTATAAAAACTGTTGGGTGTAAAGAATTAAGTATGGTAAGGTATATAATAATGAGAACCTTATAATTATATTTCTTAAATCATTTTTTTTATGGTTATATAAAAAAAATTATTACTGTGATTATTTAACAAATATAATTCATAATGATTTTTCTTTTAATTCTTTTTTACTTATTTTGATTGTAATTAGAGTAACATATGATAAAATATCTTTTTTTGTTTATTATGATACTTCTTTACTACCTTTTTAAAGAAACTATTTAAAAAAACTATAAAATCCATTCATTTCATATATCTACTATCTACCTTATAATTATCATGAAATATTTATAATTTAATAACTACAAGCAGTAGTCTCAGAAATATTAAATTTAAAATATTTAAAACAATAATAATTAATTTAGAATATTTTGCAATTTTTGTCATTTAAAAATAAAAGAGTAAGAAGAGAATCTGGAGTGTAAATTAAAGAATTTAATATTCAATTATTAGCTATTATACATTTATAAAACTTTGAAAGTTTTTGAGCATCAAATAAATATAAAATGAATAGATAATTCTATTGAAATTAATCTTATTCTTAATTTTAAATACTAGAAAAGAAAAAATGCTTAATTATAGTATTTCAGCAACTATTATTTATTTTGATAAAATTAATTATATTAATTTTTAATTTTCTTATTTATATTATAGATAAATTCTTTAGGAGAAAGTTGGGATGAAGAACTACGCCGAAAGTTGTATGAATGCTTATATCTCAGTTATGATATTGCATTTGAAAATAAAAATTTAAATATACGGGTTCCAAGAGAAATTTCAAATTTTATTAAAACTATAATTATCTCTTTTGTTGCTGAAGATGTAAATACAAGTATGCATACTTATTTATAACAATCTAATAAAATAGAAAAATTACTTTGTTATTCTGCTATATTTTATTCACTACACTATAGTAGTGAATGTAGACCTTTATAGTTTTTTGTTAAACTAAATTTTCATATTTATCATGTTTTAATTTAGCAAAATTGCAAACGAAGAAAACATTTTTGGTTCCGGATTACTTGTCAGTATGTTATCCATTCTTCAAGCAAAAATTTTCATCCGATTTCAGCTTTGCTTCAGTTCCTACTATCAAACTAATGATAATCCAACTAAAAAAATGGATCAAGTGCATAGAAAACAAATCTAATTATCCATCTAGGTTTTTACATCATTTTCGATGTCCCACAATCCATCAATTTGATTGGTCTGTGATAAGAATACCCAGTGACCATTATATTGACGTAATGATTTAAAAATTAATTAATAAAATATAATTACTAAATGCTAATCCACTATTCCCTCAATTTTTAATCTATTTTTTGTTATTATCAATGTATTATTAGGATTCTTCTGAGGCTGTCAGAATACATAATTTCAGTGGTTATGTACATCTCATTGACAAAAATGGTACTGTTGTTAAACAGTTGTCTATTCGTGGAACTGATGGTCATATATATACCTACAATGTTTCAAAAGGCCAGGGTATTGAATCCGAAGATAGAATTTTCCAATTATTCAGAGTGGCAAATAGTTATTTGCTTGATTATAAAGTAAAATCGTTTTTATAGTCTAAATTGTAATGCATACTTCATATTCAACTAATCATAAACAATTTTATTTTAGGAAACCGCTAAAAGATTTTTAAAGTTCTCTATACCAAATACATTCACAATTGCACCAAATTTAAGAATGGTTGAAACTAAAAAGAACTCAATATTTTCTCTCTTTGATATATATAGAGAAGTAAATAAGCCTGTGTCATGGGTTCATGAGGATATTGATTTTTGGTTTTCAGTACTAAATACATGTATTATTGTAAGTCAATTGTCATATATATTTTTTAATTTGAAAAAATTAAAATTAATTTCTGTTTGATGTGTTTACAGGCAGAGAGAACTCAGCCTTTGATGGAATCTTTAATTGCAACAGGAAACAAGTATGGTTCAGACGAAGTGTTGAAGAATTGGGTTTTATTGATGTACCCATTGCAATCAGATTATTGGACATTTCGTAAAACCGTAAGTGATATGCTTAGAATATAATTTATTTTACTAATTTGTATGTTTAATTTTAATGAACATTGTTTTTAGTTTGTTGAACATTACTCACTACTTTGTTTTTTTGAGTATGCATTCAACCTTATCAAATTAAAGCCTGAGATGCTAAATATTGACAAAAATAATGGAGTGGCTATTGCGTTACATTATACATTTAATTTGAGTGAAATTCATGGTTAGTATCTCTTTTGATTCAACATTTAGTGAATTTGTGTATTGAATAATAATGACAATTATAATTTTGCAGGAAACTTAGTTTCAAATCATATAATACCTTTTCGTATGACACCAAATTTGACAAATTTTATCACGCCTTATCGAAAACATCAAATGATAAATTGCTTAACTGCGACTGGTCATTGTTTAACCAACAGTATTGATGATATTAGTGTTGTTCTAAAATTATTATTGAAGGATGAATTTTTAGCTAATTATAATATTGTAAGTTATTCAGTGATTTGTTAAGTATTTAGAAATAAATTGGAAGGAATTAAAAAATAAAATAAAATAGTATTATTCAAAAAGTTAATTAATTAAATAATTTAAATACTAATATTTATTCCCATCATTAATTAAATACTTATAGTTATTTATTATGATCATGTAAAATATTAAATTTTTTTAATTATTATTGAGTATAGTATATATATTTTAATACAATAAGTTAAATTACTTTTAGTGGGGGATTATCGTAATTTCTAACATTAAGTAATAAAATTATGATTGATACGTTAGTTAATTTAAATTTATATTTAATTAGACTGATTTTTATTTGTTTATAAGGTGTAAATAAATATATATTCATTATTAAAATGATTAAACAATAATTTGTACTAATTAATCACATTTATTTATACATTGTGATTTTAGAAAACCTATAAAAAAATATCAAGAAATGAACTACAAATTTTTGAAATAGTTGATAAAAATCTGAAGTATATTTTGAAGAATTTCAATAAAATAAAAAATGCTGCAACCCACAATCCAGTAATACTATTAAAATAAATAATTTACAATTTTTTTATTTTATTACAATTAATTGAATTATATTTTTAGATTCCTGATCTCCTATACCAAGCTTTCCATAAAGAATTATTATGTCATGAACGTTCAACGTGGCGTCCTTGGTTATAATCAACTAACTATAGGATTAGTTTGTTATGATAATGATAACTTTTGTATTGTTCTATTTATTATTATGAATTTTACATAATCATTATTTTTTGTAAGACTGCTAATTGTAAATTATTTATGTGAATGTTACTTTTTTAAAGTAATTTTATGATTGTAATTTTTTTTAACTAACTCAGATTTTGAACAAAAATTTTTGTATTTATTAAATTTAATCTCATTTACCATAATTTATATATAATTCTTAATTATTGAAATACACATTGAAATTTTAGTATAATATTATTTAAACCAAACTTATAATTAGGTTTTTTTTGTATTTAATGTTAATAGAAAAGTAATAGGCTTATTTTTTTTTTTTATATGTAATAATATTGCTACAATAAATTGTCTATTAAATATTTATTTAGTAATGATGTTATTAGTAATAAATTATATTTACTTTTATAATACTGTACAACACTATATATTATTATTATTTTTTTTTTTGTTGCTTTTATTGAAATTAGTTAACATCATTTCTGAACACTGTAATGAATAATTAAAAAGTTTTACATTCAACGCATATAAAAAAAAATTAATTTTAATATTTTATCAGTTCTTGTTATAAAAATTAAGTAATGATATTAAATAAATTTGTTTTTCATGTAAAATAAAGTTAACTACACATTTTAATATTAAATTTATATAGCAAGTAGAAATAGATGACATGAAAATGTATATATCTATCATTTATTATAAATCAAAATTTAATGACTCATTAAAGTCTCATCAATTATTCATGTTAGGTAATTACAAAAATATTCTAATTTTCTATATAAATATAATACTTCTTGTTTAATGCTTCAATAAATAAAATTAACAATATAATTTAAAATAAATTATTATATTATATCTATAAAATAATTTATGAAATATTTATAAAATAAATAATAAATAATTTCAAGTTATAACATTGATATTTTGAAATTATAAACAACAGTTATTTCATTTTTAATACATTATTAAATAATAGTCGTATTATATAAATACTTAATGAAATAATTTTTAAAACTATCCTCTGTTATTAGTATCAAAATTATCATTTGAAGTTACATTTCTTTGTACAAATTCTTCTTTAGTGGAATGCAATATTTTTGTATTATCAGTTGAAATTGCAATTTCAGTCAATTTTCTATAAGTTGAGTGATCTAGCATATTATGCTTTGACATGTATCTGCAAATTCAAAAAATAAATTTATTTAATTATTAAATTTTTTTTGTGATAGTTTTACATAATATAATCATTAATTTTGTTGTCAAGCTACTCATATACTGTAAATGTTGTGAAGTCAGTAAATTAAATATTATAATATGGACACGCCTAAGGTCTACAAGATACAAATGTCTTAAAAGGAAGTCACATGGCCTTGTGTATATTTCTGTCTTACAAATGTACAGCATAGTAAATTTGGGATTTACTGTGCAAATTTAAAGTTTTGTATAGCTACATTTATGTTTATATGTCTGAACAGTTTAATAATAGTTAATTAACTATGATTTTAAAGCTAACAACATAAATTGATTTTGGTGCTGATATAATATGTTTGCTATGTTTTTGTTTGTAAGACATGCAACATATGTAGGTATGGTGTTATGTTAATATCTTTGATAGTTATACCTCATGGACGGAATGACTTGTTTCTTGGAAAGTAAGACTTCTACTATCTCTTCATGGGCTGTATTCAATCTATGCAACATGTCAAGTGCCATCTGATGTGCTGGTGAATAAAGTGATTCTAAAGATAATAATAAACAAGCCTGAAATAAAACAAGTTTTAGATTAATACACACCTTGCCTTTAAACACATGATAAAATCTACCAAAATTGGATTAATAAAAATTCTTTCTTAGAAATAACTTCTAAAAGTAGAAAAAATAATTAAAATTTTGATTATTCAAACTTCATTTAATTAACTACACATTCATATTCACCAATGGTTTGGAGTCAATAACAATGTGGTATTGCACCATCTGATGAAGCTGATAATACATTTTATTTATTACTAAACAGTTTATGAGTAATTCATAAAGGAAGTGTTCAATAGTGATTTTGTTATCTGTTAGTGATCGTATGTATTCAACTAATATTGAAACTGTAAATTTTTTATCGTCTGTAACATATAAAAATAATCAATTTTTTTATGCTTTAAAAATTAGAATAAATATTAGAAAGTAGAATATACATGAACTTTAATATATTTAGATAATGCATATTTTTAAATAATTACATACCTTTAGTATTCTCCAATTTATCTACTAATTTTACAAATACGTGCTCATAAACATCCAACTGTTCTATAACAACTTTACATTGCAATGATTCAGCAACAATCATGTAGTCATTAGATAATGGACTGGTGTTCATAATATGATTGTTGAGATGTTTCTTGTAAACAATATTTAAATGATCAAAAACATTTCCTATTTCAATCAAATTACTTGTTTTTTGTAAAATCATATTTTGTAATACCTAAATTAAAAACAAACATATAATATTCACAGTTCAATGATAAATAATGTATAATAACAATATGTTATGTCTACTTATGGTAATATATGTATCCAATCATAAAAATTGTAATCATATAATTTAAACAATAAAATTTTTCTTAATGGAAATACTTGTACATAAATAGTATTACAAATATTTATGATGTATTATTTGATATTTAAGCTATAGTTTTTATAATATAAGAGTATAAGATATAAATAAATAAATACATATATCAATACAAAGATATGAATTTTTTAAGTAATAAGCCTATAATAAATCTGTTTAAACATGGTTATCTAACAAGGAATTATTCTAAAAAATAAATAAAACCTTAACCTCTTGAAATATACATATTTTATTAATGGGTAAATGTCAAAAAAAAAAAAAAATGTAGTAAAATGTGTAAAGGTTGTTTATAACTCACCTAAACAATTAAAAACATCTAGTTTCATATTTTAATTTGTATATTTTGTACAAATTAATCATATGTATTATTATTTATTCATCAGTTTACAAAAGATTGAAATTTTACAATGTAAATTAAATACAATTTCAGTATTTAGATACATTTAGTAATGTGCTGATAAAAGTGGTAGAATTCTTAATAAATTTACATATTTAAGTAAATTAAAACAAAAGCATAAATAATAATACCTCCAAAGTGGTATCTTTTGAGTTTGATCGCAAAAGAAGAAAATCAATAAGTGAACATTTATCAATAATTAATCTGGTCACAGCTGATAAGTTCAGTTTGAAATGCCTGTAAATTAAATTAAAATATTAAATAATTCAACTTCAGTAAGTATATAAAATAAATGCAAACTATATATTTCATAATCTATAGTATCTATATATAATATAATAATTAAGTATAAAAAGTAAATTTAAATAAGCATCATAGAAAACTGGATTTTTTAGTTATTTAATACTCTGGTACAGATAGATTTTTGGCTCGTCTTAACTTAAATGATAGTTGAGTTCTCATGACTATAAATTTATTTATATAGAAGTTAGTTTTGATGTCTTAAAGTTTCTTTATGACATAAGCTACCTTGAAAAATAGAACTCAGATATATAGGCAGAGGTTTTTTTTTTTTTTTTGGTGATCTAGAAAAATGTGCTTTAAGTACACAATTTAATTTATGTAACAGAATATACTTTATAAGTGAAACTTTCATTTTGCATTTTTATAGCCTTTTTAGGTAGGTACTTAATTTTATTATTTTTAATGCATATTTATAGTTCTAAATTTTAATGTGAAATTAACTATCATAAAATAATATTTCAAGAAATGTTGTTTAGTTCAATGCTAATTATTAATAAATATAAAATAGTAGAATTTGACATAGTTTTAGTTTTATATTTTTGGTATGTTTAGAATGGATAATATAGCCCCAAGACGACATCATAAACAAATTACTATCATCAATAACTCATTTAATTTTTTTTATATAATTAATAAAAATTAAATATTAAAATATGTATTAATTTAATTTATTTTAGTAAAATAAAATAAATATAATGTTAAGGTTAAAAGAATGATTTAAGGTATTATTAAATAGTTTTTATGGCATTAAATCTTGGTTCTAGTCACTTATCATCATTAAAAAAAAAATATATTACTTTAAATGATAAAAATGTATATATAATTAAATTAATAGAAGAATTCTAAAAGAACTCCTATTCCAAATATATAATAATATTTGTAAGATATTTGCTTGTCATACATAAAAAACATAATAAAATAATTAATAAAAGTTTATATAATATATATTTTTACATAAAAGATTATTATTAATTATTATAAGTGAGATAAATTCACTATATTATAACTTATAAGGTACAGTTTCTACAAAGCTTAAGTGTTATTCAGAATGTAGTGGTCTATTTATTTATTCTTATACACATTGTACCAATAAATAAATATCTTATAATATGCTCATACACTAAGCTTTTGTGCAAAATCTTTGACCAAGTCAGCTAGTAAATATTTAATATTTACTACTTTTAAAGTATAAAGAATTAGTATAGTATAATTTTAACATTATTTTGATACATTCACCTCATTTGATTTAAAATCAAAACATTATGTCACCAAGGAAACTATAAAAAGTTTTGAAAAAAAGTTAAAACTGCAATATTAAATTAAGTACATACCACAAATAACCTAATTTAGCATCTATTATCATGTTTGGTTGAAACGAGATGCAAATACTTGAATCTGTGATAAAAGTATTAAGGAACTTTATAGGATCATATTATCTATTATAATAATATATAACAAATACAACTAATGTAACTATCTATATGTAATAATTAAAGAATATTAAATACATAAAAAAATAGGTTATTAAATTAAAGTGCAGAGTTTTAATTTGTATGGTAACTAAATATCATAATTATTGATTAAAATTAATTATTTAATTATAGTATAATATAGTTTTTAATGTTTATTTATAGTAAGTTTATTCACATTGATTCAATTCAGAATCATGAATAGGCATAGTAAACCAGATAAAAACTTACACAATTATTTCCTGACAAAATTTTGAATATGTTTAAGATATAAGTTATAATTGACTAATCATTACTTAATCATAGGTTAGTTATAATGGAAAATGATTATTAAAAAATAAAATAACTCTCATAAAAATCTAGTCTTACTTATAAGAATTAACTACTAACTTTCAGTTTTTAAAAATCAAGTATTAATAATTTGTAATAATTATTCTGATTTTCATGACCAAAAAAAAAAAAAAAAATATGGGAATTTAAATTAAATTAAAATTATAAATTTGAGAAAACTTGAATATTTTTCTTATAAAAAGGATACAAAGATGAGTAACAAAATTTGATCCTCCTTCTCTTGGAATTGTTCTTTTGATTGATAGATCATCTAAAATAGGTAAATAATGTGATATTGTATGTTCTTTTGCAGCTTCCATATATATATCGAATACAGAAGAAGACTAAACAATAAATTTGAGTTATAGAATATACTTGTGATATTTATGAATTAAAATTCATAAATACCATTAGTTTAAGAATAAATACCTTTGTATGTTGGTAATGAACAACAATCAAATTATCAACCACATTAATCAATAATTTACCATTGTGTGTCAATCTTAGAATATGTGATTTTTTAAACGCCATCATTCTGCAATAGAAAAGAAATGGTATTTTTTTTTTTTTACATACAAATAAAACACATTCAATTAATAAATAATTCAATTGTTATATACTATACTTGTTTAATGTAAAAACTATAATTTCATTACGACTTTGACTTGTCGGTAAAACTAATATTCTGAGTATGTTGTATACAGTAGTCATTACAATATTACGTTCACTAATTGATTGATTTGGTATATTAAGTGAAGTATCTAAATCAACTGCACAAAAAAAAATATCATAATTGTTATAATTATTATTAATTACATTAATTTTGTAATACCTTCTAATTTAGTTAGTTTATTTATATTCCCAGGTAAAATATGGAGTGGTTGAAAATCCCCAAAAGAATTCATACACAGTAATAATAATTTTGAATGATTTGAGTAAATAAACCAATTCACATGTAAATTTATAGATTTAGAAAAAATTATGCGTTGCTTAGGTACTTGGCCTTCGACCTAATATAAAAAAATATAACAGTATAATTTATACGGCTTTAAAAATGTATTAGAATATTATTTTACCTGGTATAGTTCTACACCTTTATCACTAATTAATAGTATTTCATTATTTCCAGTCCAAATAAAGCCCAACAATTTGGCACCTTTGAATTTACAATACAAAAAATAAGGACTTAATAATGTATTTTCTTTAATTTCCATTAATTCCTAAAATAATATATGACATAAAATAATAATAAAATAATTAATATACATTGAATTATAATATAAATTTGACAGATTAAATATTTGCATACAATTATTGATACAATAAATTATTGTTTATTTCAAACCTAAAATCAAACTTCAAAATTTATAATTAAGAGTTATTATATTAAAAACTTGTAAGTTATTTGATTTAAATTTATTTTCAATAATACTGAAGCTTTTTTTCTTATAATAATGTATTATCATTTATGATAAATTTAGAAAACATCTAATACTTTTGCATAAGTATTAAACTAAGTATTAATAATAAATAAACATATCTAAGTATACTAACATTTATCAAATTTAAATTTGAATTCGTTTTAGAAAAAAATATATATTATGTATAAATTAGTTTTTATTATTATAAAAATATTATTACATAAATTATTTTTTATTAATAAGTTTATTTAATATAAGTTATTTAGTCATTATGTATTATTCAGCTATAATCTTATGTGCCAAATAATAATAATCGAACATGTTGAGATTTTTGAAAATAAAATAAGTTAAAAATTTAAATTGTGTTTTTTATGATTCAATATCTATAATATTTATACTGTACACTTTTGATTTTTCACCTTGGTATCAATAATTAATATATAAATGATTTAACAAAAACTTACAACAGATAACGCTGTTCTCATCATTGTTAATATTTTACAGTTCAGGGACATTTTTATTGAAGATACTGGTCCTCGATCTTCAATTTTAAACACCATATTCTCTCTACAGCGAGTACTAGATGTTACAATTATTTCAGTCAGCTCACCGGAATGAACAGTTATTATCTAAAACAGTATACACAATAAATAATAAGTATTTAGTTTTAAAATTATAACAAGAAAAACATTTAGTAAATACTAAACATGATAATTGAAGAACAATATTAAATCATAAATAAATATCATAACTTCATAATTAAAACTATGTTTTATCTTTTGAATTCTTTTACCTGTCCAGTTATTTCATCGTAAAACACATTTGTCGTTTTGCTTACACTTGCAGGAACAAATTGAACTGGATCTTCATTCAGTTGAAGACAATTATTATGATCATCCATAGTTAAAATTAAAATGGCTGACCAAATAGTTAGAACCACTGTTTAAATAATTTAATCTGTAAATATTAACAGATGGGTTATAAAAAATATAGTTATGGATTGTATAGTACCCATTTTTCTGAATGGTCAAGTGATAGTCAAATTGCTAAGGCTATGTAAAATATATCTTTGAGTTGCTTGTATTATTATAATATCAATATCGATAAATTTGGAACACTGTAATCATGGACCTCTACATTACATTTAGCAATCATAGCATGAAAATCTGTGACTGGCATAAATATTATTATTCTTATAATGATAATTTAAGTGTCATAAATAATAATAAGCTGTTGCTTGGTGAACAAATCGATACAATATTAGAGAACAATATACAAAACATTTCATGAAAATGTAATCAAATGCCATTTACTATAGATAATATTATACTTTAAAAGTATTAAAGCTACGCTTAGATTGGTGCCATAGGGATATTTATTGGACAGATTTAAAATAAAAACTATTTCGCCCGACGATATAAGTACATAACGATACATAACTTAACAGATATATTTTATTTGTTATCTAAAACATGGTGACAGGGCAGCAGGCGAGTGCTGTCAATCTATTGATGTATTGGTGAAAATTTTACGCAAATTGTTCGACTTGCAACTGCGAATGAAAAAACATGATAGAAGATCGTGCGAGTGTTGCACATAGCCAAACATCGAAACGGTTTACGGTCCTAAACATCAACAGTGGTCGACGCTGGCAAGTCCGTTTGACAATGTTACGAGATAAAAATTCAACTCACGTTTCACATAAAAACGTACAGGACACTGAACTATGGGTTCGTATACACCGACATTGGCGCAGGTTTTGACAATATGCACCAGACGTCAGCCAAACATAACTAGCGTACGCGTAGTGATTCAATAAAAATTGACGAGCAGACGAAGTACACGAACGAGAATTGGTTAATTTCAAGCTCGAAAATTATAATAAACGACTTACAACGGCGTTCACCCGTTCAATGATTACTAATAATTACTATTATTACTTTTACAACCGACGTATTAAATTGATAAATACTATTATAAATTATTATTGTGATTGTTCGACTGAAGTTAATTTGATAACGATTGGATTCCCTGCGTACCTACGAAGTTGTTACTTGTTCCGGCCCGTCAAACTTATTCGACTAATCCATCGAGCTGTCTGATGTTCGAACTCGAATTCCGAGAGCCCAGCCGTATTCCGACGGCCAAGAAACCAAGAAACAAAAAATATAACTTTCCTTATGTAGGACGCTTATAATATGATATTAATTATTTACTAAAACGATTGTTTTCAATCTAATTATTAAGTATTTTTGGTTTTATTATTCTGTGATAATCGATGATTCGATTATTTTGTTGAATTTCAGATTCATGAGCTAATGGTTACACCATTTGACTAGGTACTTAGATCAATGATTATATAAAAAAAAAAAAAAGTTGTTAATTTTAATGATTTGTTTTAGAGTTTAGGGTTACCACTTACTATTAAATAGTTCTAGTTTCTGATACAATAATAATAATATTGATACTATATTTTATTGCATTAGGTATTGGATATAGACGACAGAGTATAAAATAATTTAAAATATTAATTATAATTAGGTAGGTAATAGAACGTATTATAAATTATAATTGTACTATGTACTCGTATTAAGTCTATCAACAATTTAATTATCAAATTATTATGCTTATGATAAAAAATATCAAATTCGAACGAAACGTTTTGTTTAGTTATAAACTGTTTCATTTAGAAACGTTTCAAATGTAATGTAAACAAAAATTGATAATAATAACTATAAATCTTGAAAACTTCATCTACAGCCGTGCTGAAAGCCTTTTGTTTGACGCCTGTGATAAGAATAATCAATACTCAATTGTTTATAATAAAAATTAATAGAATTATAACATTTGGATTTGTATGCAGTTTACGAAGTTACAAGTTACAACTTTACAAACCACGACCATAGACAATATCTAGCGGGTAGATACTTAGCACTAAGTGTGTAATATAAAGCTTATTGCTTACCACTTACTTATTTTGTCATAATTGATTATTTAGTGTTTATCGGTAGCTTATGAAGTTTAAAAAGGAAAAATGGAAAAATTGCATGGTAAAAATTCAATTTCAAGTCTCTCTCTAAAGATAGATGTAAGAAAATCATATGAATTAAATTAATAATTCCGTAAAATCTCTTTTTTGACCAACGGTTAGAGTTTTGAAAGTTGGCCTATTAATTTTCGATATGTACCACTAGACTTAAAAAAAAAAAAATTAAATAATACATCTTACTATTTGTGCAATAAATACTAAATAAATAAATAATAGTTAAATGTTTTAATAATTATTAAGTTTCCTATTAAAGCTTTTGTACAAACAAAAATTAAGGGATATTAGGCGTAATATTTTATTATACTTGACAAGAAAATTAAATTTTCAAATATTTATTGGCGATATACACTTTTCTGTATTTGGATATAAAAGATTGATTTAGAACCACTGGTAGGTATTATTCACTATAATATATCATATAATAGTATAATATATCCATATACAGTATAAAACTATAAATTATACTAATTATTATCAAATACTTTAAACTATAAGGAACTAAGAATTCACTTAAAGTATTTACTTATATTTTTAAGCTTAATATAGTATGATACTGTATTGTGATCTAATCGTTTAAGATAAATGCTATATGAACTCCATTTTTCAATATTTATCATAATATGATTTATTAATATAGCCTTAATACCATTTGGGATTATCATTTTGTCTTGGAATTTGAAATAAGGTTTAAACTTTTAACTTGCACTATGATATAAACGCAAATTTGAGCAAATTGATGTAAATTATCAATTCAAATTGAGTTGAGTTGAGTCAGGTAAACACTTTATTGTCAATTTAGAAATTAGCAGTAGCAAATAATAATTTTAACCAGTGAAGTTTAAAATAAAATAAAAAAATAATTTAGTTTTAGAAAAGTTTCTTTTTTTTTTTTAATTAGTATTTGGTCAACATAAATATATTTTATGCCTATTTACATGAATAATGTTTTTATCATAACAAATACAATCAATTATTAAGTATTATTACCTAATTACTAGGGCATGGATGTTGTTGCACTTTTTAACTTTTTTTCTACTTTTTCAATTAATTGTTAAATAAGTTTAAAATGCATGTCATGTAAGTGCAAACTAAAATTTAAAAGTTTTAAGTGCAATTTTCTGCAATTTTTAGTTTTTATTGAATTTATCATTTATAAAACAATTTTAACAGTTTTTTTTTTTAAGTTTTTCACATAATTTCACACTTTTTAATATTTTTTGAACGGCTTTATAAAAATTGTAAAAGTGTATACCTGAAGATTTGATGGTAAGCGATTCAATTTATTTTAAGTATGCTCTGCTAATATCAACCAATGTAGAACTAAGTTTTTTAAGCCTTCAAAGTATAAAAATTTACTGGCTCCAAACTAAAGAATATTGGATTTTGAAAATTTAAAAAACTTACACTTACGATTCAATGTATTAACATTTTTTAAGTAATATGTATTTTATTTATACATTTTTTTTTAATGAGTCAGTGATATAAAATATACACAATAAGTCAACAAATAAATGAATTAACAAAACATTGTTATTTTTTAGTGCAATTTTTAATATTTTAAGTGTATTTTTTGGTATATTTTAGAGCAATACTACAATCAATTTTACTAGTATTTTAGTACTACAACTGTCCTACTAATTACCTACTATTATTAAAGTATAAGATTAATTTTTGTTTAAAACCGTGTATGATAATATACATTAAGGAATGCATAAAGCCGTTAACTTCAAAAATTTCAAAAACATTTTTAGTTTTAACTTTATAGATTTTTTTTAAATTTATAAAAAATAGCCAAGTTAATTAAACAAATTAAGTTCATTAGTCTTAGAAAAGTTTAAACAAAATAAACTTAAACATATATTTTATACACGTATAACATTTTTATGATTATAAATATGAAACCGCTACCAGCCATGTTAATAGTTCTATATTTCTAATTACATGAGAAACAATAAAATTTTATGAAAGGGAAGGATACATTTGCTAATAGTGAAACTATGATTATAAATAATATCTATTGTAATTTGAGTTCAAATATGAGATTTGTGGTTCTCGTGAAATTACAACATGAAATTTTTTCACAATCTATTCAATATTAAACCTATTTAGAAATATATTATAGTATATTACTAAATAAACAGCCTGGTACCAATTTAGATAGATACCCTATTGAAATATCAAAGCACTAGAGTAATCTTTAAATTTTGTTAGTTCTTCACTAGATTTAAATTGAATGTAGTATATCAATATTCCATTGATAAGTAAATTCTTGCTGAAGGGTGTTCATAAGATTTTTTTTTAGAACATGTTATTTTTTATTATATAGATAAATTTTTGTTAGTACCGATATAGTACAATGTATTATAATTACTAATTATTTTATAGAAACATTGATGCAATTTCAATTTTTTTTTCAAGAGACTGAAATAATTTATGACAATGACAAACAGATCTACTCCTTTTTTATTTTATCTTTTAGAGTTAAATAATGTTTTTAATCTAATAAGATTGTTTACACCACATTTTATCTATTATCATAATTACTTAGGATCATCTCAAAACAAGTTTTTCCAGGGTTATCACCTCACTTAGAAATCTACAAAAAACACATCATAATATCAAATAAAGGAAAGAATGATACCAAAAATTAAAAAAGGAAATAATTATTAATTGTATTATTTCAAATAAATAATAAAAAAATAATTTATGTTAAAGTTAACATTTCAACATACTATCTTATTTGTTCTCCCACTGACCAATGTGCAACATCAAAAATGTTGGAAAAATTAATCTTATGTTAGTTTAAAGCTTTAATGCAAGATGCCAATTAAATAAAATAAGTTAAAAACATTATTTAAAATCAATATTTTTTAAATATAATGATACACCCATATGAAATCATTTTTAAAAAATAAATAAAATTAAATGAAGATATAGATACTTCTATTTACTCTAATTGTCCCATATTTCAAAAACTTTTATTTTGGTCATTAGAAATGATTACTTAATATATAATAATCAACAAATAATTAGTGACGAAATTACACCAAAAAAAATATTGATGATAAAAATAAAAATACTTGTTAAAAATAATACTTTTTTTATGTTACTTATTAATAAAAATACATTAAACTATAGCATAGAATTTTTAAAATGCAAAAATATTTAATATTTTTAGAATAAAAATCTTTAACTTTTATAAACTAAGTATATTTTTGGTTAGGAAATTGTTAATTATTGTTATACCTTTTAACAAACACAATTATGATTAATTTAAATACATAAATAAAATATAATAATCAATAAGTCTTTTCTGTCATGTACTAAAAGTATCTTAACTTTGGTTTAACTACGTAAAAATAAAACTTCTAGTTTTAATCATCAATAGGACAAATCAGATCGCCAATATTTAATTCATTGTTATTTTTTTTCCTCTTCAATGAAAACTGTGATTTTTTCTGAATCTAAATCAAACAATACATTTTATGTAATCCTCCATCCAGTGATCAAAATTAAAATTCATAAATTGTTATTGATTTTTTCAAATCATTATTATATCACTTACTTTGGTCTTGGATGATATTGTTAAAGGTCTATACTTTGGTTTACATTGAACATCTCTCTTTTTTTGATTTAAATCTCTTCCTATCAGCTGACTAAACTGTATGCTTAAATGACGTCTCAACAAAGTTTTGCTTTGTTGTATGAATAAAATATCAGCTAAAAGCTCAGAAGTAAATCTGTCATCGTATACTATAAGCCCACCATGAACACCTAATTTACAATAAATAATAATTTTATAATGCTATACTAAAAATATTTAAGTATTTATAAGACAATTCAAATTTTTATGGTAAAGCCTCTTTTTGATGTAATTTAAAATTTAAATGATAAATAAAATAACATTGGTTTGAAATAAATCTAGTTTAATAAACATATTTTTTAATTTAATGTTTGATATAATTGTCTATGAAATTAGTTGCTATTTTATTGATAAAACGTAATAATATTAAATACTTACCAGAACCTCTTAAATTTGATGCATATTCAGCCAAATTGACACTACAAAGCCATTCCATTACTCTATGCGTTGTCCATAATGATAAGTTACAATCGTCATCGTTTTTGTTAATATTAGAACGACGAATCAAACATTCAGGATCAAAATTATTCTTTCTCAGCACCTAAGGTATACCGTATATATAATATATCTTGTAAACATTAATTATAAATTTTTATAATCATTTAATTATTTTAATTACCTTAATTCCATATCGAAGACTAGAGAAATGTAGATCTGAATTTCCAAATTGCATCATTAGGAAATCATCTTTGGTTAGTCTATGTAAAAGAGTACCATTAATAGCTGCCTGAGAAAATGGTTCTTTATATTGTGGAAGACCTATGTCATCTAACCATTGTAATACCCAAGATGTATTTAAATATCTTGATTTGGCCAGATATTTGTCTTCGGCTAACAATTTATTTGGATCTTTTTCAAATTGAATTGCTAAAATTAACTTTTTTCTATGTAGCCAATGCTTAAAAAAAAAAAAAAATTAATTAGTTTAATTAAAATATAGAAATATTAAAACACAGTTATAAGTATACAATAAAATATTTTATACAAATATAAATTAATATTTAATAATGTAATCAACACAAATAAATAGACAATTAGTATACTTACGACTGGCCTGATACAAAGTAAATAGTTACAATTTATTAAAATGCGTTAAATTTATAATACTTTAATTAATATTAATATTTGCGTGAAAGTTGTTTAAAAAATAAATATTTATTTATAATGTTTTTTCGTGGCAAATATTATAATTGTAATGTGGTATATATGTTACGGGTAATGTTAACATTTGGATAATTTTGACATTAGTCATATGCTATCATTAACCGCCACAAATATCATGAAATGTTGCCTAATGCTAACATTAACCGGATATTACGGTATTATCCAACAAATTTTAGATTATGTCCTAACAACTTTAAAAGTATTGTATGCATGAGATAAAATAATTTTAAAT